TTACAGACACTAACAACACATAACAGACAGTGAGAAGCATTGCCACATCTTGAGAACACCTTCCCCCCACCCCTCCCTTCTTCCCGGGCTCAGCTCTGCTCCCGATATCTCTACCTCCTCCCCCAGTGGCGCAGGGGCAGGGAATGGGGGGGGTGCAGTCAGTGCTGCCACTTCCTTCATCTTCAGTGAGAGGAGTTTCTGGAACTTCCTCCCCCTGCTCCATCGTGGTCCCCCTCTCACAGGAGACAGTCCTCCACAAACTTTCTCCAACATGAATTCCTCCCATGGGCCGCAGCATTCCCCACACTGCTCCGTCATGGGTCACTAACTTTCTCCAAGTGGATTCTCTCCCACAGGCTTCAGCCCTTCCTGAGCTGCTCTGGTGTGGGACACCCCTGCATGCTGCAATCCTCCCAGTGCTGAATTACAGCAGCGGGGCTACCTTTTCCCACAAGACCCCGGCCTTCTTCGGGCACAGCACCTTGATTATACCAAGCAGAAGCCACAGGCCATAAATCAATGTCTGCTCCACCGTAGAACTTCATGGGTGGCAGGGGGGGCTGCCCTGCCGTCTCACCACAGGATACAGGGGGGTCTCTGCTCCAGCACACCTCCCCCCTCCTTTCTTCCTCCATTCCTCCACTGACCTTGGTGTTCATGCAGCTGCAGCAACTCCTCCTCACAAGCCCGACTGCCCGTCACCACGTCCCTTCTTAAATACGTTATCGCAGAGGCGCAGCCGATTGGCTCAATTTTCCAAACAGAAGTGGAGCTGACGTGGAGCTGGGGGAGCTTCAAGAAGCTTCTCACAGGGGGCCGCCCCAATAGCCCCCCCCCGCCACCAAAAAAACTCCACCACTCACTCAAACCAGAACATATCTGTTGTACAAAAACATTCTCCCATCCTTAAGAAGGCTCCTCTCTCATGACCACCAGCACTTGAGAAGAAGCTAAAGCACTTGGGGCACCCTTTGAGGAAGGGTAAAAGCCTTCTCTAACATCTGCATACACCCTCAATAACATTTAGGGATAGTCAGTGAACGCATACAAGTTTGGTAGCTCTAGGTCATGAAGATGATCCCACATGTTTTGTTAAGTCAGTGAGCTAAAGAGAAAAGATGAAGTCAAAGTTCAACTACTTGCAAGTTCCTAATGGTTTGAGATGTCATCAGCCAGTTTCTGCAGCAGAACCTGGCAGCTACCGTGTTGCTGCCAAAACCATCTGCAGTAGGAAATATAGGTATAATACAGGAAACAATCATAAAAATATCTTTGTGTAATTCAGTTAAATAGCCAATGAGAAGACCTCATCCAGGCTCAATTAGATCTGCTAATCATAGCGGTGGTTTTAACTCTCATTATTAATGCCAGATGCCCTATGGTATTCACAGTTACCAGAAATACATGTCCTACAACACAAACAAAGAATTGTTGCAATGTTAAAGCTGAGAAAACAGGATCTCAAAGGGCAAGCAACAGCAAAAGCAAGTCCTCAACTTTCATACAGCCACCTTTAGCAGGAGAAAACAAGAGGAATTGCAGTTGTCTTGACATGACATTTCCAGGTAGATTTCCTGTCTCCTGTATGCAGTGAGGGAAGACAGTCACCCTCATTTTTTCTTTTGCACATCCAATAGCAGGCTGTGGGGCCAGTGACCTGAACTACTGATACTGCAGGGCCAGCCTGGAACTAGCTCTCTGCTGGAGAGAGAGGAGAAAGACAAAGCCCTTGCCACAGAACAGCACTGCTTCTGGCTGAGGGCTCTCAGAAGTAGAGAGTCCCTTCCAAGTAGCATGGCTAGGTTTAGGGGAAATAGTGTGACTTGCTCAAATGCAGCAAAGGCCATGATTTCTGAGACGTGCCAATAACTCACAGCCAAAATTTCTTCTGAGTCCTGAGGATCTAACCAAGAGGGTAAAATTGTCAAAGTTATAACATAAGCTAGAGAGGATCACGTCTCCATTTTAAAAACGGGCAGGTCTTCCAACTGAGTCCTTAATTTTTATCTGTTTTAGAAGCATTCAGGTGTCTTGAAGTGTCACTGCAGTCTTAAACAAAAAACGTTAGACTGAATATTAGAAACAAGCATTGCTCTTCTGTAGTTAATTTCCATTTGCATGTTTATATTTAAGAAGCTTCCTCTCGCCTCACAGCCTATGTTATGGTGTCTAAGAGTCTATGCAAGTTTGTAGATCACTAGCCATCTACAGCAAAGAAATAATGCTTCTCAACTAAAACAGTGAGAGAAGGAACCTTCTTTTGATGTCTCTTCCCCCCCACTCCCTCTCCAAAAAATAGGTAGTCTGGTTTATAGTATTATGTTGTACAGATATTACTAGAGAAGTATGCAGTCCTACAAATTTAAGAAATCCCATCTTACCCAAATATGGACTCTGATTTAGAAATCAGAGGAAGTCCCTACAAAGTTAATCCAGCAAACAAAGAGGGCTTAACAGAAAACTTCGGGTTGACAATGTTCTCAACTTTGAGTGCATCAGTTGTACATCACCTGTAATCAGGAAAGCATAGTTTAAAGACTTCCGCTGTCAATTCCTACAACCAAGGCAGCCATGCTTTACGATTTCTTGCTGGGGGTGGCGAAGACACAAAAGGCTTTTTTAGGCTATAACCTCTGTATCTGGCTAAAAGATTCCTGAGCACTAAGGAGTGTTTAAAGCCAAAAATAAACAAACAAGCCCTCACCTTATTTATTGCTCAAACTACTCCATCAAGTTCCACCAAATGTTTATGCAAGACTATTTATTGCCTCTGCATTGTCCTCACACAGACACATTGTACTGGATTTGCTTCCAGCATTACCAGCTTAAGTTTATTTTCTAATGTACACTAATGCAAGAAAAATCACACCTAGAAGCTTCACAAGGCAGCCAGCTCATCAGTACATGCTACCTCCTCCAGAGTAGCCATGATGATTAGTAACAATAATTTCTGTATATTTTCTACCTGCCTTGCCAACAGAGCTCGCAAGTCTTACTCTGGCACCTTCTAAATCTTTCCAGAGAACATCAGTTTCAGGAGCTCACACTGACAGAGAATATGATTGAAGACCTCCAACTCCCTTACTTTCCCCTAAATTAAAGGTAAAAAAGAAGCTTTAACTCAGGCAAACCATTATTTCTGCAGGTCATTAATATTTTTTAGTAGGTTCTCACTGAAAAGCAATCCAAACCTCATCTACCTCAGCACTGCTCTTGGCTATGCTAATGTCCTGTGATGAATTTATACAGCTCTTAATCTCTGCAGCTGAACTACCAAGCAAGTTCTCTACACCTGCTGCACAATATAATCCTCACATGTTGCAGTTTTGTTTTCCACTTTTCTTTGCCTCATTAGTTTCTGCCCATTCCCCCTATCTCTAGAGCACGTGGGTCCCACAAAAGAGACCACTCTGCCACTACGTCCAACATGGACGCCAGTATTATTCAGTCTTATTGTTCATGTGAGCATACTCCAGCCACAGGAGCAGCAGCAGACTCTTGATCGCCTGGATTTCTGCCTGGATTTCCTCTGGCTCACACAAACAATCAGCACTTGCACACCCACCTACGCCACTTTCTTCATATAACAACTTCTTATCAGCACCTTGCTGGTAAACTTTCTTCCCACCTGGCATTTCTTGGGAATTAGGACAGGAAGAGGTAAAAAAAAAAAATGCAAGTCTGACAACAATGTAGGCACCAGACTTTTATCCACTGTACTGCTTCCAAACCACCATCTATCATTTCCTCACTGGTCAAAGGCAGCACTGCCAACAGACACAACTACCCAGAGCAGCCTGAATGCACTGAAAATTGTCACCAAAAAACCCCACAACAGCCTCATCTGCTCAGATATACCCATGCAATTAACAACAAATGAAGAAAAAAAAAAAAAGAAAATTTTTTTTTCTACTATTAATTACTATATGAAAGAGAAAGTCTGTACTAGCTGCTCATTTAACAGCCCAAGAATTTCCGTAAGGTCTCATAGAAACAGAGAAGAAAAACTTCCACCAAATCAATGACCTAACCAGTCTCTCCTTGACAGGACTCATCCCTCCTCTGCAAAAAAAGTGAGTTTCCACACAAAATTTCTGTTAGGTAAGGAGGAATGAAAGGTAAACCACAAAACATACCCACCGTCAGCACCATGGATGTCTCACATCCACAACAGACTGAGACCCCATCTCGGGCTGGTCCCAGGTGGACACTCCATTGCAAAGCCATACTGCACAATTCTCTTCAAAACATTATTGCCACAAACAGCCCCTTTCCCTAAAATACCAGCAAGACACACAAAGCATACAACAGGAGCACAACATGATGTGAACCGAAAGCAACAGCCTTATGACACGACCGGCACTCTTAACACCGCATGTTAATTCACTGCTGCTTCACAGGCATGTGGCCCGACGATCTAGGTTTTTTCCTATTTCCATGTGCTTTCTGGGTGAGGCAGCCTTTGCCAGCTTATTTAACGCCCTCCCACACCCCACCCAATTTGGTTTTAACAAGTCAGAGAGTAGGACCACAAAAATATCGGAAAGAGAGCCTGTTCCGGAGCCGCAGCATCCAGTGCTGGCAACAGAAAACGTGCTCCCGTCACTCGCTCCTTTATCTTGGAAAGGCCATCCGAAAAAGCAGACTGCGCAGCCCGCATCCTAAAGTTTTCACCGCTGCACAGAGCCACTGGCCGCCGCCGAAACGGGCCCGGCTTTAACCGGGTTACATCTGTGCGAAAAGGCGAGAGGCAGACGGCAACAGCCGCCGGGCGCTGCCCCGGCTCCAGCGAAGGGCGCCTTCGCTTGTATTTCGCTGCCGGAGACGCCGCTTGGCTCCTCTCGCTCCGGCGCCAGGCAGCGCAGCCGGCAGCCCGCCGCCGCTCCCCTCGCCCTCAGCCTGCCCGGGGGCGGCTCCCGGCGGGGCAGGGCGCGGCCGGGGAAGGGGCCGAGCCCCCCACCCACCACCCCCACGCACCTCGCGGGGACGCGGCCACTTACAGCTCAGGACCCCCAAGTAGCCGAGGAGCAGCAGGCGGAGACTGCCGCTCGCCATCTTCGCGGCAACGGCCGCTCCCCTCCGGCAGAGGCGGTTAATAACCGCCGGGACGTGAGGGGCGGCCTGATCTCGGCCCGGGGGGGAGCGAGGGGGTGGGGCCGCGGGGCAGGTGCGGCGCCGCCCGCGCCCGCTGGGCTCTTGCCTCCGCGCCCGGCGGAGCCACGCCGCGCCCCGCCGCGCCCCGCCGCCGCCCCAAAACTTTTAACGCGTGGGAGGAGGCGCCTCCCCGCCCGCGCCGGCTCCGGGGGGCCGCGCCCTGGCCCGCCCCGCCCGCCGGCAGCCCCGGACCCGGCCGCCCCGCTCGCCGCCGCGGTGGCCCCGCGCACCCCGGGGCGGCACCGTGCTGCACCCGGCAGCTCTTCCCACCCGGTTCTTTCCTTGTTTTTTAAACTAGGAGGTCTTCAGAAGCTCAAGGACTTGTGCTGGCAACGGGATCAGCTTTCCGCTTACGAAAGGCTTCAACTTCCCAGAGAAAACCAGAGCCCCTGCTGGGACGTTCCCCCGAGTGAAACCCACCCGCGGTGGAAGCAGCGATAACGGGGTGAAATCACGGCACGTCAGTTTGGCTGTTGCGGAGGAAGAGAGGGCGGTGCGCCGGGGTTGGGGCGGGGGGGGGGCGCGAGTGTAAGCGGCCGGGTTGAACGAAGCCAGAGCCGGGGTGGCCCCGGTGCCGCTGGGCCGCGCGAAGCCCACCCACGGCCGCGCGAAGCCCACCCACGGGCGGGCGCGGCCGTGGCTGTTAACCCGCAGGAGAGGGGCTGCGCCGCCACCGCCAGAGCCTGCCCGATTCGCACCCGTCTGGGAGATTCCTGATTAAATACACAGGAGGCGGAACGGCCCTTTAAATTTCTGAATCAAAGAAAATGCCTCCTCGTGGCAGTTAATAGTGCGTCCGAGCAGTCTCTAATGACATCCTAAAAATATATTACCACTGATGTAATACGGTTCTGTAGCAAGAAAAGCATCATAAGCATTTCTTTGATAATCAGAACAGCAGTGTTGGCTATATTTTGTTAGACTGGAGCAAAAAGAGGAAAGGTTATTTATAAATAAAACCCCTAGCAGTTATTTTAATGGAGAACAAATAAGCAGAATGCCATTATGCTCTTCAGATCAAAATCTTCCCAGCTTACTTTTCACATGCAAAAATGTATATAGAATACAATAAATATTTCTGCAGAAAATGTGTGCGTATTATATGTCCAAAGTATCTTACCAGTATAATGGTGACACATGCTTTTAATAAAATCAAAACTATTCCACAGGCAACAGAGAAGTTCTTTATTTTGTGTGGCCCAGCGCATTGTAACTTTGAGCATACACAAAGTTTCACTAAGTTCAGTAGGACTGCTTTACTGCTTAAAGTCACACGGTGATAGAAATACGGTGTAGATATAAAATTTAAGTATATGGAAGGAGCCTGGTGGAAAAGGTATGGAGGTGGAGAATGTTAAGAAATTACAGTATGGAATTAAATTAAGGGATAACTCATAGGATGACTAGTAAAGCTGATGTAATGACAATGAATCAATGAGGGGAATGAAGAGATTAATTGCGAGGCAAAGGTATTCCATTAGACAATGGGATGAAGTTTAGACTAGTACAGTAGCCTTTCCACCACAGTAATGATTCAGTTCTAATTGCCCAAATACATAGATTCACATATAGGGTTTAATTTGGATTTCATTATAATGACTTTTATACCACAGCAAATCCACTTAAATGCATAGGGTATATATAAACCTTATATATGAGGTCAGAGTAAAGTTCCTTTTTTTTTTTTTTTTTTTTTTTCCTGTTCATTATTTTGTTTCTCTTGCAAGTGAAGCAAATACTCAGTGTGCAGGTTGCCTCCCCCACATTTCTCTGACTTTTTCTAGTGCAGTTTCACAGTACTTTCAGAGTTTCTTTATATTGCCCTCTTTTATTTCAGCAATGATTAGATCACGGTTTCTCTGCTTGCTTTATACAACTGCAGGAAACACCAGCAATTAAATGTGGGTATTCTGAATGCATTTACAGAATTATTGGAAAAGTGGTTGTAATGCATATAGTTAATTTAATACATATACTTCTTCTGTATGTACTTTGCTGAACACTGTTGTTCTTAAAAACACCGTTAAGTACTTTGTTAGAAGAGCACAAGACTGCTATCCTTATTTTTAATCTTTTAAAGTTAAATGTAGTAAAAATATTTTCATTAAAAAGCACGTAGAGTCCAACATGGAAGAATTTGTTTGACATGCCCAGTTTTAACAGTCATTCTTGGAGAGCTTTCCACAGGGACTCCTTTTTAGAATTATAAAAACAGTCTATAATTAACATCACACAAAATGCTGGTCAAGAATAGCTATCTTATTTTGTAGTAACTATTGTAGTCAAGTTCTTTGAATGGAAAGGCCTTTAAGAATTGTGTGGAAATGTTACATGATTTCAAGACTTGGTTGCTTCTTAGTCATCTCAGTAATTCATAAACCAGAAGATTACTATTATTTCATTAGATTATACATACATTCTTACATTACAATGGAATTCTTTCTCCTTTTAATGAAACGTCCTATTGCAAATGTGTAGTGGTGATGATAATCTGTTCTAATAATACAAGTTTACCTCTTTTATTATGGTACCATCACTCTGCTACAGAGGTCTGTGAAAAAACAGTTTTTAAAAATATTTTGCTAAAGTTCTGTGAAACACTTTAAGACAAAACTCTGACTCTTCACTTTGAGAACATTTAATTTTTCTTAGCTATAACATGATAAAAATGAATACAGAAAGATTAACCTATACTAAGAAAATACTGGTTTTGGTGATTTCTCCACTCCAAATGCGTTTTATTTTACAGGTGGAAGAAAGACAAATCACCTTAGATTTATTTTTCTGCACCTGGCATGCTGATTTCTATAATAACTTTGAGGTATAATAATAATAATAAAAAAAAAAATCAGTACAACAAATTAGAACTGCTAAATTTGGTTACAAATGATGTTGCAATATAAATACCTGAATACATTACAAATGGGTAAGAGAAGATGATTATGATTCCTCTTCTCAAAAACACAAGTAGGATAGCGGGAAAAGTAGTTGCACTACAAGAAGAGAACTGGCTGTTTAACACTTAGAAGAGTACAATGTTAATTCACTCATCTGTCATGGTTTACACACACCAAACTAGAAGACAGTCATGAGAGAGCTAATGAATGTTCATCCTTGCACCACCATTAAAAAAAAAAAAATGTTTCATGAAAGCCAGTGCTTCCCTAGTACATCCCATTCAGGAATAAGCCTAACATATCTCATGTTTACTCATTGAATTTAAGTAGATCAACTAGTGTAACCCTAATTTCATGTAAGGAAGTACGTATTTTTTGTTCTGTTGATAAGCAGGTAGCATGGATGTGTGATAATCTGTGAGTAGCTCATCTCTTGTCTGCAGAGTGAAATGTCAGTGAAAGCATCAAAGATTACAGTTCTGCACTACTTTTACCTTTTCTTGCTGTGCTTTACGAAGTTAATTGTTCATTAAAATTTTTAATGTCTCTTAGCTGATCTATAATAGCAGATAGCCCAGCAAGATTGCTGATAACTGTGCCTGGTTATGATGAGAGGAGTAGGGGAGAAGATTTAGAATCTGGAGCCACTGAGAGAGAAAGTGAAAGACACAGGAAAAAAGCACTCTGGTGCATAAACTTACCTATATGTTTGTTTATATGGAGAGTTGGAGTGATGATTGTTATTGGAATTTACATTGTTTAGGTTTTGATCAAGAAGACATCTTTGAATATTTTTCCATATTTAAAGAAAAAGAAACATATTTTTTTCATATTTCTAAAAAGAGAGATGTTGCGTTTGAGGTGGTCAGGGATGCCATTTTTGACTTGGTGACATAGCCTGTGGGTTAACTGTCTGTACACATCTTTTTTCCAAGTACACCAAATTTTTGCCACATATGTGTGTTCTAGTAAGTGCCGAAGATGGCAGCACATAGCTGTAGAGAGACTGTTCTGGTGTGATTCTGGGCATGGCAATGAGACAAGTTGATGAAAATCTATTTTGTAAAACTGGTAAAACATATTCCATTTAACTAACCAGTTTAATCACCAAAATACATATTTTGTGCTCTGTGTCACAAATCTTTTTTTCTGAAACTCATTGATCCATGTGCTATGTATTTTTTGTTGTGCCCATACTACCAACCTGGAGTTCATTGAACCTATCAGCTTGAAAGCCTTGCTCTTTAGCATGAAGAATTATCAGCAGCCATGTGTAAGTGTGTGGAGAGGCTGATATCTACAGTTTAAGTGATAACATTTTTCTTTTGCAATTTTAACTATCACCACACCTGGCTTTCTATAATGTTTTGGGGCACTGCTTTAACAGCTACCCACTCCTGCTGTTGCGGAGGGCCTTGTGTCCTTTCTGCTTCTGTGGCATCTTGTTATTTTGTTTCACTGCTTCATGCTAATTGCTTTAATTCCTGTCTGGAAAAAAAAAAATCTGATTTAGCTGGCAGATTATTTGCTTGTTTTGTACTTTGAATCTGAAAACTGTGAGCGATAGTTTTGAGAAAAAAAAAGAAAAATAATCAGATACTCTTTTTTTCCACCGACCTGTTGTTGATGGCTGTTTAAAGACAGAGCATGCCATAGGTGAGTTGCCTTGCTATAACAAAACGGGCTGGAGTGCTGTGGTAGAACCCTGTATCTCTATTAGACTGCTAAAACATCTTGTATCTAATGCATCAACCAAACTTGAGCCAGGAAAGCCACAAAATGTGAGGGTAGGACAAGATAACAGTAATACAATTTACTTGTTCTCAGTAGCTTTTTTTTTCCCTGTGAATCCCCCCCTCCATTTTCTGGAATGTCTTGTATAATTTTATCTTTGCCTTGCAAAGTACAGTATTAATGCATTTTTTTTTTCAACTTTTCAACAAGATTGCCACTAAGTAGACAGCTCAGTAGCAATCAAAGGTATATTTCTAAAACAGATCCACCAAATTGGATGGCATTGTAAGATGCTTCCGAATTCAACCTAAGCAACAGTCAACAATGCATTAGCCACAATGCTGATGGTGATAAGAGTGAGAATTATTTTGCCACAATGTTTAAAATGCTTTGCTGCTCCACTGTGGTATGAAGAATACGGCTCTTAAAATGTAGTTACACGCCATGTTGTCTTCCAAGGCAATTGCTGCCTTTGGCCATGGATTGCTGCTCCCGTGTCACTGGAGCACGAAAATAATTATACGAAGCTGTACTTAAGCCAGCTCACTGCAATAATGTGAATAAAGCATAATCTTTCAGCAATACTGATCCTGCAATTTGTACTGCTTCAGTGATCTCTTGTTCAGCGCCTTGTGCAGCGCTGCCATAGTAGTCTACCTGGAGGGTAAGCAGTGAGAAACAGCTGAGAATGGCAAAGGGAGGGCAGGAATTTCTAAGCCAGTTTTCGCTTTTGAATCAATCTGTAAGCGAGCTCAGAGCTGGCTTTGGGAGCATGAGGGCAATAAACACTCACGGTTTGCCACTTACGCATTAATGTTAGGTAACATACTATGGCATAAGCGCAGTTATGGGGTTCCTGTTGCCTCATGGGGCAACCTCTCATTTTCTGCCCATGATAAAATAATATCCACCGTTTTGCTGAAAGTCAAAGGGCTTTATGAAGACTGATACCTTGTAATTATTCTTGGGTGGTTTTGTTACCCATCTCTTCTCCGTACCACGTGCTCAGTGTTGTGACATGCTAAAAGCCACTGGACTTCAGCTAAACCCTTCCCAGAGTACTTCTTAGCTGGAAGGCTTTTGTCTTTTGGCATTGAGGGATCAATAGCTGGGGGGGCTGCAGCAGGCCTCTATGTCCCCCCACCCAGCTACTGACAGGGCCACGTTTGGCAGCTGAGAGTAACCCCCAGCTGGCCCTCGGCTCAGTCCATGGGGTTCGAGTGGACCCAGGGGTTTTTACCCTCCCACAGAAGCCTCGACTAAATATACTGTAGTAAACAGAGAAATGATATTACAGTTGTGAGCCAGCTGTGCCAGCATGAATCAAAATAAGCTTGAAGACTGAACTTTTTCAATTAAACCCAAATTTATGCTAATGTTGTTTCTCTTTTCTGCTTTTGTCCAGGGGCTGTAGAGATACTAGCTGAATCCTGGGTGAAATTTCCAGCAGCTTTAGATGTCTTTTGATTTCCACTGGGAGCTAAAACTTTGCACTGTCACTCTGTTGGCTGAGGATTACCAAAAGACAGAGGGCTACGACCATGCTCCTCCTGTAGTCTTCAGCACGTTACAAGTCCCAAGCAGCTTTTTATCTGCATTGTGTTTCCAGAGCAACACCAAACAAGTGGAAGGAGGGACTGGATATTCTACCACCATTTTTCTGAAGATTAAGCTGAATAAAAAGTTGCAAATACTTGTACAAAAGATTTAGAGATTAGAAAGTAGCAATTTAAAACCTAGAGAGAGAGACATATAATAAAGTGTGCAGTATCAAATAGGATTTTATTCCTGTCGTTCAAAAATTCCTCAGAGCGACAGAATAGGGTTTGTTTCTCTTTCATTCTCCAAACATTTTGAATTTGAGAAAGTTTTAGAGAAAAAACATTCTTTATACAGCCTACATTGTGAACTTTGTTTTCTTTGGGTTTTTCATTATTTAAACCAAAATGATTATGTGACGTGATCATTGACCACATATGATTCCTCAAGCCATAGAATAAAAAGTTAATAGAAGAAATGGTGTAGTTAAAATTACATAAATAATAATAGCATCTTTGTGTTTTCTCAGGACCCTCCACCTCAAGACTATAAACTGTTTTACACATCCAAGTATGCAGGCTACAGTAAGCCTGGTGCACTAAAAAATAACTTGCATTTAACTCACTTTAAAAAATGAGGAAGCAGGATGATTGATTTGCTGGAATTCTTAAATTATCAAATAATATAATGAAGGGCACAAATAGCTACCATACTCACACACCTGGTTTTCTGGATGAGAGCCCAGGTGAGCAGGGAAGTGAGTGCCAGGTACCGAACCAAGGGGAGCCAGATGTCCTGCTGCTCTGCAGACGTGTTTCCACAGTGGAAAATTCTGTTACCGGGCCTTACCAGTATTAGCACATTTATTTCTTTGATGCTGAGTTTAATTACATCCTTTAGTTCTTAATGGCACTAATTCAGTGTAACTGTTTGACACTGGCATTCCTGATGGTGGTTGTTATGTCTTTGCCAACTGGGGATCGGGATGAATCATAGAACACCAGGTTAGAAGGGGCCTCAAGGATCACCTGGTCCAACCTTTCTTGGCAAAAGCGTGGTCTAGACAAGATGGCCCAGCACCCTGGCTGGCTGGCTCCTAAAAGTGCCCAACATTGGAGAAACCACCACTTCCCTGGGGAGATTATTCCAATGGCTGTTTGTTCTCATTGTGAAAAAGATGTCCACATCTTTTTTTTTACAGTGGGGACCAAAACTGAACACTGTATTCCAGGTGTGGCCTGACAAGAACTGAGTAGAGTGGGATGATGACTTCTTTATCTCTGCCAGTGATGCCCTTGTTGATGCAGCTCAGCACCCTGTTGGCTTGCTTTGCCACAGCAGCACACTGGTCACTCACATTGAGCTTGTTGCCCACCAGGACCCCCAGGTCCCTTTACACAGAGCTGCTCCTCAGCTGGGTAGATCCCAGCCTGTGCTGCACACCTGGATTATGTTTTCCCAACTGCAAGACCTTGCACTTGTCCTTGTTGAATTTCATCAGGTTCTTGTTAGCCCATTCTTGCAGCCTATACAGGTGTTCCTGCAGGGTGGCTGTCCCTTCCAAAGTGTCCACTTCCTCACTCAGCTTGGTATCATCAGCAAAATTCATCAGAGTACACTTGATCCCATCATCCAGATCGCTTATGAAGATATTAAACAGTGCTGGGTCCAATATCAATCCCTGAGGGTCCCCACTTGCGACAGGCTGCCAGTTTGAAAAAGAGCTATACACCACAACTCTCTGGGTGCAGCCTGTCAGCCAGTTCCCCACCCACCGCACAGACCCCTTGTCTAGCCTGTATTGCACCAGTTTCTCTAGGAGGCTGTGGGGAACTGTATCAGAAGCCTTGGAGAAATACAGGTAGACAATTTCCATCACTCACAGCACATCAACCAAGCAGGTTACTTTGTGGTAGAAAGACCACCATCAGCTAAATTGTAAATCATTGAAACAAACTCTTATTTCACAAATTTTAACAAATTTCAATGCAAACCATGGTTTTCCAACACAGGTAGTAGCTAGTATCTGCTTAACTTCAATATTTTGGAGGAGGAAGTGTGGAACGGAGGTGTGGTGCGTTTACCCTGGCTGGACACCAGGTGCCCACCAAAGCTGTTCTATCACTCCCCTCTTCAGCTGCACAGGGAAGAGAAAATATAACAAAAGGCTCATGGATCAAAATAAGGACAGGGAGAGATCACTTAACAATTACTATCACAGGCAAAACAGATTTGACCCCGAGAAATTAGTTTAATTTATTACCAGTCAAATCAGAACAGAATAATGAGAAATAAAACCAAATCTTAAGACACCTTCCCTCCACCTCTCCCTTCTTCCCAGGCTCAACTTCACTCCTGATTTCTCTATCTTCTTCCCCTCTGCGGTGCAGGGGTATGGGGGTTGTGTCAGTTCATCATAAGTTGTCTCTGCTGCTCCTTCCTCCTCACATGCTTCTCCTGCTCTAGCATGGGGTTCCTCCCCCAGGAAACAGTCCTCCATGAACTTCTCCAATGTGAGTCCTTCCCATGGGCTACAGTTCTTTACAAACTGTTCCAGCATGGGTCCCTTCCATGGGGTGCAGTCCTTTAGGAAGAGACTGCTCTTGTGTGGGACCTTCACAGGGTCACAGGTCCTGCCAGCAAACGCGCACCAGTGTGGGCCCCTCTCTCTCCACAGGTCCTGCCAGGAGCCTGATCCAGCACAAGGGGTCACAGCCTCCTGCAGGCACATCCACCAGCTCTGGCGTGGGATCCTCCCCGGGCTGCAGGTGGAGATCTGCTCCACCATGGACCTCCCTGGGCTGCAGGGGCACAGCCTGCCTCACCACAGCCTTCACCACAGGCTGCAGGGGAACCTGCTCCGGCACCTGGAGCGCCTCCTCCCCCTCCTTCTTCACTGACCTCGGTGTCTGCAGAGTGGTTTCTCTCACATGTTCCCACTCCTCTCTCCAGCTGCAGGTGCACAGGTTTTTTTCCCCCTTCTTAAATACATTATCCCCGAGGTGCTACCACCATCACTGATGGGCTCGGCCTTGGCCAGCAGCAGGTCAGTCTCGGATCTGGCTGCACCGACTCTGTTGGTCACAGGGGCGGCTTCTGGCAGTTTCTCACAGGAGCCACCCCAGCAGCCCCCCTGCTACCAAAACGTTGCCACACAAGCCCCGTGCAGGAGGCCAGTGATGGCGAAGGGGCGCTGGCGGTGCGGAGCTGGAGTTACAGGGAAACTTGGCAGCTGTGCGGCCAGGCCTGCAGCTCCGCCACAGCGGGGAGCCGGGCACCAAAGGCCCTTTCCAGCAGCCAGCAGGCCGTTAATGCTAACCCTGCAGCCCCAGTACCACGTATTTGTGATCCTCTCCGTGAGGCGGCTGAACATACGTCCATTAAGGCCATTCCAAAGATGTCGCTTTCGGGGATGACGTTACTGCCCAGGGTAACGAGGCCTGCTGAGGCAAAGGGAGGGCAGGGGGCAATGCGCTACACCCACAGCGTGCTGGAGCTAATGGAGCCCCAGCGGCGCCTCTGAAGGGAGCGCGGAAAGCCGGGGGCAGGGGGGGTCTGTCCCGGGCCCCGGCGCCGCCCGGCGGTAGCGGGCGGGACCGCGGGCGGAACGGCGCTGCCGCCGCCGCTGTTTCCGGCGGAGCCGGGGCCCGGCAGCAGCGGGAACATGGCGGCGCGCTGGGCTGCCCGCTGCCGGCGGGGCGGGCGCCGTGAGTGGCGGCGGGGCGGGCGCGGGGGGCACAGCGGGGTGCGGGGGGTGCGCCGGGCCGGCTCCGGGCTGCGGGCTCGTCCTGCGCGGGTGCTCTGAGGATCCCGGCCCGGGGTGGCCCGGCCGTGCGGGGCGGCTGGGCTGGGCTCGGGTCCCCGGGCTGCGGGGCCGCGGTGGGCGGGAGGCGCTGGGCCGTCTGAGGGAAGGGCCTTTGCGGGCGGGGAACGTCCCTGAGCTTGCGCTGGTGCCGAGTTTTGGGCTGTGACCTCATGCAGGGACCGAGAACGGTCGGGCGGTGAGAGCGGGTGAAGTGCTCGCCTTGAGGCAGGCACAGGGATTAGCAGTGCAGTGCCACGGCATTTTATAAAGAGGCCTTGGAAACGCCTTATTGCTTATTTTAGATCATTCCTTTTACCAGGGTTCATCTCCACACCAGCTGTTTCTCGACTGACGTCAGATGAAGTGGTTCTGATGCGTAATGAACTCTTCACCAAAGAGAAGGAGAGGCAGTTGTCTCTCTATCCACGAATTGAGAAAATCGAAGTAAAATACACTGGGAAACCACACCCTGGCAGTGTGTTTGTCATGAACAAAGCCTTGTCTACTCCGTACAATTGTGCCATGCGTAAGTGAATGGACTCTTAAACTAACATTGTGCCGCTGCTGCTGAGAATTGTGCTGCTGATTGAAGTACTTCTCGTCTCAGTTTGAAATGTTAGTATTATTGACATTTTAATGACCTAGGTAAGAGACGTGCATTCAGAATATTTGTGTTTGGTAAGTTTAAAATACATTTGTACTAAACGACGTCAGCAGAAACTGACCTAATTTTTGGAGGCTCTGTTCCTTCCAAGTCATTTACAGAAATGCAGTTTGTTGTTACAAATGCAGGGGTCTAAACTGCTGACTCCGAGGAATATGGTTAATAACTCTGTGATACTTATTTTACTTTCTTTAGACTTAAGTGAATGGCATTGCAAGAAATCTGTTCTAGCTCTTGTGGATGGTGAAGTCTGGGATATGTACAGACCCCTGACCAAATCATGTGAAATTCAGTTCCTTACTTTCAAAGATGAAGATCCAGAGGAAGTAAACAAGGTAAATCTGTATCTTATCCCACTGTAGGTGACTGTGATTATGACCACTTGATTCTGTATGCCCTTCGCAGTTCTATGTATGTCTGCTTTCTTGAACTTTGTGGTCATGAAAGTTGTGATACTTTTAATAGTTGGTTGACGTATCATGATTATCATTACCTGGACCAGGGTGTGGACTAGGTGATGTACAGGCATCCCTTTCAACCTATATTGTTGTATTATTCTATGATTTCAGATTTAAATATCTCCAGGGAAAGATCTGTTTTGCATTTCAAGTGCCGTTTTGTTTTGTTTTATTAAGTCTATATGGAGAATCATCTCCAATTACAAGTTTAAGTACTAAAGAAAGTAATGCTTGGGTTGACAGCTGGGTTTGTGTGTCACTGTTAAATGTTGTATTCTTTTGGAATAAATAGCTGATGTTCATCTGGTACGGACTGTTAGCTTCTAGGTAATAAATCTGTGTTTTGAAATTCTCTTTATAGGCCTATTGGCGTTCTTGTGCCATGATCATGGCATGTGTGTTAAAGCGGGCATTCAAAGATGAGTACTCAGTGAATCTGATTAAATCTCCAGAACTACCAGGTGATATAAGCGTTTTATATTGATTGTCTTGTCTTTTCCCTGTTTCTTAAGTGAGTGTCTAATAGTGTTACAAAAAAGCTGGAGGCTCCTTTTCCAATGATTGAAGGTACTTAGCATTGATAGGCGTATTACATGCCATTCTTGTAACCTTTAATTTATAGTAATTGCACTGAAAACAATTTTGTTACCGAAGTACAGAAGATTGGTTTGGGTGGCAACTGCTTTTCAGAGCACTTAGGATTCCGTAGGCTGTTAGTAGCTTATGAACATAACCTTTTTATTGTGAAGTTACATGAGGAAGGTGTTTAGAAGATGTGATGTGTTTCTGTGAGATTCGCTCTAGTAACTACATAATGTTGTGAGCATTAGATTTATTAAAAGTTATGATGTGTACTTCGTTGGAAGATTACTGAAGTTAATGTTAGTGCTCATCTGTGATCTGGTCTAAGGTTTACAAAAATGAGAAAATGCATGGGAGGAGGTTATTTAAATAACAAAGCCTCCGTGATTATGCATTTGATATATAAGAGTGTTGATTGAGGGTCATGTGGAGTCCTACAATTGATTCCCTTTTTAGCAATCTCAGCATTTGTCTGGATTGGTAAGTGTAGAGTGGATATTTCAGTTCTACCAGGATTTGAAGTAATCTTGCATATATTGAGCTATATCATTACACTGTATGTGTAGGAATGGTATGAGCTTACTCGGTTCATAAGCTTGTTTTCTAAGATGGCAATAACTGAATAAATATACACAGAGTGTTCTAATGTGTCTCACAGGGGGCCACCCCTATAGCCCCCTCCCCTGCTACCAAAAGACCCCACCACTCACTCAAACCCAGGACAAGCTATCACAGAAATTTGTGTTGCCTTTATAAGAAATTTGTGCCATGCTTGTGTCATGGATAAACATTTTACTTCAGCTCTAATATTGTCTGATTTCTCTATGCAATAAATTCCTCTTTACAGTTTAATAGTGCAAATTTACTTTTATTGTATGATGCACACAAAGGAAAAATGTGAAATGTTTTCAGAGTGTTTTTTTTCTTTTGTTTCAATGTTAAATGCAGTTTTCAGAAGCAGTATATTTTTTTTTTCTCTTTAATGTCATTGTATTATGCTGACATTACATTAAAACTCATTTCAAATTACTTTCTCATTCAATGAGATGAAATGAAAATGATACAGGTTTAATCTGACATTTGACTGTATAATCATAGCTGAAAATTTGTATTTTATGGATTTAGTGAGATCATTCCGGTTTTCTTCTCATTCATTTTGATATATTTATAAGAATATATTATGACAATAAAATACATACTTTGTAACAAACATTAATATTTATTTCTTTGGAATTGTAATTGCAGTGATCTCTGGAGCTTTTTGTTATGATGTAATTTTGGACCACAGACTGAATGACTGGAAACCAACAAACGTAAGCACAGTAACTTCTTGGCTGGACAGTTGTATAGCTTGCATCCTTGTCCAACGGTTCTTTTTTAATGGGAGAGAGGGTGCAGTGAGGGTTTTTTTTTTTGTCAGGTATATCTGCACTGGTATTTTTTTTAGGTCAGCAGTAATCTTTGGAAACTAATCTCTGCATTTACCATGTACTGGATGTTGTTGCAGAGTGCTCTCAGAGCACACAGACTAGGTTCCTTTCAGATGAAATTAATTTAAACCTTGAGCTGTCTTCCACATACCTCCAGGTTTTAGGTCTGTGGGGCTAGAGTAAGTTCTAGTCTGAAATACAATCAAAAACAGTTGATGTGGCTGTTGGGACCTCAGTGCCATCTTTCTTACTATATAGATCTGCTCCTACTCAGCTGCTCTTGCCTGGTTATGTAGCTGCAACCAGAGTCTTGGTGTGAGTAGAGCCCTCTGAAAATAAAAATGTGTGTAATAGCATATTTTCACCTAGTGGTTTACAGCATAATCAGTTTATTGCTGTAAAAGAACTATGAGCACATTCAGCTGAAGCTCTCCTTAATAACTTGCTTATATTTCATGTTCTTCAGTAAATCTAATAATATAAAACCTAAGTCTCATAACCATTTAGTAGCTGGTGTGATCATGATTGTTTTAATTGTCTGGTGGCTATTATTGTTCTCATGCCCAAATATCACCAGATATCGTGTGTATGGCTAATAAAGCAGTATTGGTACAATGCAGAATTTTTCTTCAATATGATATTGTAGTTGAAGTAACCTAGTTTGAAATATTTGCTGTGTGACATTGTAAATGTAATTTCGCCTAATAAGAACTTCTTATTTAGCAATAAATCTGAGTATGCAAAGTTTTGGATTCTGGGTCAAGGTGTTCAATTTCTATTTATTAATTATTCAGCACTTTTTTCCCCCTTTGATTCCATCACAATAGAGGTAATTTATAAGTGGAGGCACGATTCTGGGAAACAAGATACACAGATACAAAAGATACACAGATGAATATTGAACAGTAACAAGACTATATATATGTACACATATATATGGTCATATATATATCATGTGGACATATATACACATATATATGTGTGTGTGTGTATCTATATCTCATGTAGGGAAAACCTGGGAAGTTTAACTCCAATTAATATATATAGTTTCTGATGGAAAGATGTGTATTGATTTGACTGGGCATTGAATCAATCCATTTAAACAGTGATGATCCAGAGCAGTCTGTTGCTGATACCTAATAAGAATTACAGTCCTAGAGCAATATTCTTATATTTATGGTTTATAGTAGATGATCCTTGTTGTTTTGACTCATATTTAGTGTTTCTTATACTTTGTCTTTTCACTACAGCTGTGAAACAGTGATGACAGTTTTGTATGTATCAACTCTTTTTTAGGACAGCTTCCGTTCCCTTACAAGGGATGCCACAAAGCTAATTCAGAAAGACCTGCCATTTGAAACACTGCTTGTTGAAGCAAAAGTAGCACGTGAAATGTTTCAGCATAACAGGTAAGTGCCTTTCTTTTAGAAAGGCAATTAGAAATTCATTTAAATCTCTACTTGGTTTTGTAAATCTAAAATAAGATGTGACAGGTGGCATAAGAATGTACTTCTCCCACTACACTGAATAAGCCTGCCTCTGTTCTATTTGTCACACTACCTTACTTAATTTTTAATGTTCTTTGCTGAGGCCAACACCAGGCACCTTTACGGGATGTAGTTTTGTGACAAATTGAAAGACTGTAGACTTAGTTTAATAGTGAGCTTTAAGATCTTGCTGCTTTTACATTGAAGCTCTGGTGGTTAGACTTGGAGTGCTAGTAACTTTCAGCCTTTTCTGGAAAACTTTCATATTCAAAGAAATGCAGATTTTTTCATATCTTTGTATCTCCAAGTGAAGATTTGATGAAATGCAGTTTTTGAGCTCTGCAGAGGGAAAATGGGCAAAATACTCTGGCCTGTGCTATAAAGGAAGGCTTGTTCAAAACCTGCCAGCCTTCTTCACTGAAAAAATACTTAAGCAATGTTTTGGGAAAAAAATTCTTTGTACCACAGCTCTTCAGCAGTTGGAGAGAGGTGGGGGAAATGTTAAATAATTTATCATTTTGTGAATCAAAAAAAAATTATGATAAAGCTAAAGTTGCAAAAATAATTTGTTTTTTAGCTTAATAATGAATGTGATATTAATGTGACATACATCTCTTCGCTATGTTGATGTCGTGGTTTGAGCTCAGAGGGCAACTGAGCACCACACAGCCGCTCACTCCTCCCTTCCTCCCCAGCCATGAGAAGGGGAAAATAAGACAGACTTGGGATTCAAGATCAGATGGGGAGGGGCAAATCATCCATTATGGTCATGGGCCAAAGCCAGACTTGTTAGGGGAAGAGAAAAAGAACATAGATTTATTATAGACACTAATAACAATACTTAATGGAGTAGGACAGTGAGAAGCATTGCCACACCTTGAGAACACCTTTCCCCCACCCCTCCCTTCTTCCTGGACTCAGCTCTGCTCCTGATATCTCTACCTCCTCCCCCAGCAGCGCAGGGGCAGGGAATGGGGGTGGGGGTGTGTGTGTGTGTGTGTGTGTGAGGTCAGTGCTGCTGCTTCTTCCATCTTTGGTGGGGGGAGCGTCCAGAACTTGTTCCACCTGCTCCATCATGGTCCCCCTCTCACAGGAGACAGTCCTCCACAAACTTTCTCCAATATGAGTCCCTCCCACGGGCCGCAGAATTTCCTTACACTTCTCCGGTGTGGGGCACCAACTTTCTCCAACTGCAATCCCTCCCACGGCTGCAGCCCTTCCTGAGCTGCTCTGGTGTGGGACACCCCCACGTGCTGCAATCCTCCCAATGCTGAATTACAACAGCAGAGGCTACCTTTTACTACAAGGCCCTGGCGTTCTTCAGGCACAGTCATCGTGGTCATCCATGAGTGGCCCCTCACAGGCCATATATCAGCATCTGCTCCACCGTAGATCTTCATGGGTGGCAGGGGGGGCCACCCTGCCGTCTCACCACAGGATACAGGGGGGTCTCTGCTCCGGCACACCTCCCCCCTCCTTTCTTCCTCCGTTCCTCCACTGACCTTGGTGTTCACCCAGCTGCCGCAAGTCCGACTCCTCCTCACCACATCCCTTAAATACATTATTGCAGAGGTGCAGCTGATTGGCTCAGTTTTGGTGCAGAAGCAGGTCTGATTTGGAGCTGGGGGAGCTTTGAGAAACTTCTCACAGGGGGCCACCGCCATAGTCCCCTCCCCTGCTACCAAAAAAAAACCCAAAACCACCACTTACTCAAACCCAGGACAGTTGGCTGGCAAGCATTGACATCAGCTGACTTTTGATAATAACGTTAGACATTGGTGTGTGTGAAGAAGGAGCAGAAAACACTCCTGTCTTGCAGATGATTGGTTGTTGAGGACCATAGATTGCAGAAAATAAGTTTTGGTGATTGTAGTCTTACATGTGACTTGAAAAACTCTTATTTTTATTTCAAGTAGTAGAGTCATTTTATCTTTGAATAAAATTCTGCTGAGAGACCATGGCCCTCCTATAACATATGCATAGAATAGAATACGCTAGGATAGACTATTTCAGTAGGAAGGGACCAAAACCGATCATCTAGTCCAACTTCCTGAGCAATTCAGGGCTGACCAAGAGTTAAAGCATGTTGTTATTAAGGGCATTGTCCAAATGCCTCTTAAAAACTGAAAGGCTTGGGACATTGACCACCTCTTCAGGGAGTATGTTCCAATGTTTGACCACTCTCACAGTAAAGAAATGCTTCCTAATGTCCAGTCTGAACCTCCCCTGGTGCAGCTTTGAACCATTCCCACATGTCCTGTCACTGGATACCAGGGAGCTCAGCACCCCCCTCTCCCCTTCCCCTCCTCAGGGAGCTGTAGAGATCAATGAGGTCACCTCTCAGCCTCCTTTTCTCCAAACTAGTCAAACCCAAAGTCCTCAGCTGTTCCTCACGGGACATGCTTTCCAAGCCTTTCACCAGCTTTGTTGCCCTCCTCTGGATGCATTCAAGGACCTTCACATCTTCTTAAATTGTGGGGCCCAGAACTGCACGCAGTACTCCAGGTGAGGCCACACCAACGCTGCATACAGCAGGATGATCACCTCTCCTGACCGGCTGATTTTGCTGTGTTTGAGGCCCCGCAGGGTGCAGTTTGCCCCCTGGGCTGCCAGGGCTCACTGCTGGCTCATACCGAGCCTGCTGTCAGCCAGCACCCCCAGACCCCTTTCTGCAGGGCTGCTCTCCAGCCACTCCTCTCCCAGTTCATGCTTGTGCCCAGCATTACTGCCTCCCAGGTGCAGTATCCAGCATTTAAACTTGTTAAATTTCACACCATTGATTATTGCCCAATGCTCCGATCCATCTAGATCCCTCTGCAAGACCTCTTGTCCCTCAAGAGAGACAACAGCACCTCCCAGTTTGGTATCAACAAACTTACTAATGGTGCATTCAACTCTTACATGTTGATAAATATATTGAACAGAATATATTCTGTTCATATCGTTGATAAATATATTGAACAGAACTGGCCCTAGAATTTATCCCTGAGGAGCAGCATTGGTGACTGGCCGCCAGTCAGATGTATCCCCATTCACCACAACCCTCTAAGCCCTGCCCTTCAGCCAGTTCTTCACCCAGCACACTGTGAACTTGCTCATCCCACAGTTGGACAACTTGTCCAGCAGGATGCTGTGAGGGACAGCATCAAAAGGCTTACTAAAATCCAGAAAAACTACATTCACCACCTTCCTTTCATCCACTAGATGGGTGACCTTACCATAGAAGGATATGAAATTAGTTAAAAAGGACTTTCCCTTTGTGAACCTGTGTTGACAGCGCCTGATGATTGCATTATTTTTTAAATGCCTTTCAGTAGTACTCACTATAATCTCCATAATTTTTCTGGGAACTGAGGTTAGACTAACAGGTCTGTATGACAAGCTTTATGACACATGTCAATACACGTTGTCATATAAAATTAAGAATTTGAACCTGTTTCAAAGCTCACATAAATAGGAGCATGATTTTTAAGAATGCTCCTTAAATTGATCTCTTAAGTATTCTTATAAGAACTGGGTGTTAAAGGTGAAGTTTTTTTTAATGTTTTTTTTTGTCTTGTTCAGATATAAAATGGAGATGATAGAACAAAAAGCTTCTAAGAATATGGAAGGAATTGTAACATTACATAGGTGAGCAAAACTGAACTCTTATTCTGTAATGATTTACTAAAAGATTTGTTTATACTGCAAGTAGTCTCTGCAAATGTGAAGAGTAACTTGTGATGGTTTTCAATTTAGAAATCACTTGTATTCATTATTGTCTGTAGTCTGTCTTAAGTTATTGTTTGGGTGATGTTTTTTGTTTGTTTTGGGGGTTTTTGTTTTGTTTTTTTTTTTTTCCCCACACAACTATTGTTTTGTGATACTTAACACTTGGTGGATCTCACTACATTTCTATTTCTTGGTAAGAGTGGTAAGCGCCAGAGAAATCTTACTGCTTTAAATGCTTTTACATAAAATCTAAATAAATCTCCAGAGTTTGATAGGTTAAATAAAATACGAACTAAATACTTCTCTGAGAACAGGAGTTAGCATTGTACAGTGGATTTTTCTTCTAAAGTTGTCTAGATCTTACTAACTGGCAAACTACTGCCTTGTAGTGGTGGAGATGAGAATGGAGTTGGCTCCTGGGATACAGTATGAGATGTAAAAGTTCTTAGGCTGCAGACAGGAAGCTTGTGTTGTATCTCAGGCATATAAAAGAATTTGTGACAAGTTTAGACTAGTGTAGGATATTCATTTTTCTATATGTTTAAATTTTTCTGCATTTGATTTTGGAGACTATGTCTCTCTAAAGGAACAGATGACTTTGCAGTGATGGTTGTTGAAATGTTAGAAGGATGCTGTGTCTGTTTTCTCCCGCTCCCCACTCTCTAGTTTGCTCAGTAAGAGGTAAAACGGGCTTACCTATTGATTTCTGGAAGACATATATTCTGAATATTCTTTTGCTGTACATCTTTTTATTTCTCACTTTTCTTAATTGATTTACAATTTTCCAAGACCTGAAAGGGAAATACCTGTGCAGGTTGTAAACACTGTACTGTGGAAGATACATGATCTTGGAGACAAATCTTTTTCTGATGAATGACATTTATCCCACTTTTAAAGCATTCAAAGATTTGTTAAACCTAGGATCTTATGTAAAGACTTGAGGTGTAAATTTCATAAGTACATTTTAGGAAATTGTGTGACCTGTACTGCTGCTTCAGGAAACCTAGAAGTGCTGAACTGGGGATTTGTTTAGATTTGGTTTGGGATTTGTATGGATTTTCTTTCATCTGTTCTGTAGATAGGGATTTACTAATCAGAAATAAAAACAAATAGTCTTGTACTTCTCTCTGAATATATTTGACGTAGGGTTTTTTCTTTTGCTCCCATCAGGTTTGGTGACTTTGTAGATGTTAGTGAAGGCCCTCATATTCCAAGGACAGGTTTCTGTTTCCAGTATGAGATAACAGCAGCCCATAATCTTCAGACTAACCAATCTGAATTGATAAGGAGGTTCCAGGGTGTGTCCCTGCCAGTCCATTTGAAGGTAAATAATCCATTTTGTACATGTTTTCCTTCTTTAAGTTAGGGCATTTGCTTTACTTTCCGATCTTTTATGTGCTGTGCTGGTAGCCGAATGTAATTTGGAGGTGAGAACAGTAGCAGAAGGGGAAGACCCATGATGATGACGACTGTGTTGGATATTTGGGGTTTGTTTTCCTGAAACTATTGTGGATGTGAAATCAGAACCAGAAAAGTTTGCATCAGAGGGCCCTTGATGTTTTTTTCCAGTAATGAAAGTGTTGTTTCAGTTGTTCAGTTTCTTCATGGATATTTCATTCACTTTGCCTTAGCTGTGCATGCTAATCTTATGAAGTAGAGGCTGCTGGCAGTGTTTATTCAGATTCGGGAAAGAGCAGAGCTTTGAATTTATACTCATGATAAAGGATGCCGTTTCAAAGTCTTTCAAGACACCAAAGGAGAATTTAGCAACAGTAACAAAAAAGTCCTAGCTCTAATCTGTCTTAAACAAAGGCTTTGCGGAACTATAGGTGGAAGCAGGAGTCTTTCTTCCCATTCCTGTTGACGTAACATGATTTTGACCTGTGGTCTAGCACATGTGCTGTTGTTTCAGTTGGGGAAGTTTTCAAGGGACAAGTGGGCACTGGGTTCCTCGCCTCATCTCTGTGTTCCCTTCCTCATCATAAGATTTTAATTCCTGTTTTTTGCCCATTACCCCCTCAATGATTCCACAGAATGAACGGATGTGATCAGCAGATATTTATTTGAGTCTCCCAAAGTAGTATGGGCAAATTGGACATTGAAATTATAAAACTGTAACATCTGAATTTAGGGATTGTTAAGGTTTGGTGCCAACATTTCTCTACATTTGTCAGAATCTGTTCTATGATAATTTCTTTTTTTACCTCTGCTAACATAATTTAATGACATTTAATACAGGCTCACCACACTGTGTGGCACAAACTGCTGGAAAGATCAAAGAGGCTGGTAAGTCTCACCAGTGATGAAGTACAGCTTACCAAATATATGTGCTGTGATAGAGTAGAATTTGAATAATTAGAGATGGGTAATATATTCAAGAACGCATCTTTAGGAATGGAAATCTTCACAGGTGAAGAAAAAAATTTGATGGAAATGAAATCTAACTGCTGTGTAGTAGAGCATGTGCTAGTACTGTTTCTGAAGTCTGCTTATTAAAATGCATTGTACCATTTAAAAAAATACACACTTTCAGTTAATATAATTTGGACTATTAAAAATAAAACTGGAGCAAATTATATCAGACTTCCCATCTATGGCTCTGAAGCTGTCTGCTTCTGAGAATTCCACATGCTTTTTGTAACAATCTCTCTAAACTGTCATTAATTATCACTTTCAACTATATTAGTATTTTTCAAATTAATCTGTAGAATTAATATTGGTGTCATGTGTGTAAAATTTAAGATTTTTTTTCTTGTTTTAATCATGAACACGAAATAAGAAAACTAAGAATTGGAATAATGTATTTACATTTACCTAGATTTTAGGTAATAACAAGTTTTCTGCCACAGGTTTGAGAGAACACATGCAAACATGTTTCTATAAGTAAATGCAGTGATAAAATGTAATACCACTGTGTGAACCTAGGTGGAAGTTACTGGAAGTAAAAGGGAATGCTATTTCAGTAAACTGCATAAATTCACTAGTTTGAGTATTTTTTTACCTGCTTAAAACCTACATGGAAAATAAGAGTTTCTTGCAAACATTTTTCTGTTAAGCGTTTCAAAGTTGAAATGTGCTTATCCAAGAGCAGCTTTACAGTGTCTGAGTAAATGCAAAAGATAAGTTTTTAAGATAAATGGAACTATAAAATATCATAACCCACATATAACCAGAGACTCAGTATCAAGGCGTGCTTAATCATAGGAAATCTTCATAAGAATTAAACGGCAGATGTTTTGAAGACTTCAGATCAAATATTTTACTTATTTGTGTGGCAAGAGAGAGAAGAAAAATGCCATATGTCTACTGAAATTTGTTAGCCAAGGATGTGCTCAGAGACTAGCCCATAATATTTTTCTATGAAATTAGTTTGAAGATGCTTGTCATAGAGGTTGTTTAATTTTGGAGACAATAATTGTCTTTGTAGGCTGTCCTTTCTTGTTGCATTGACAGTATGAGGGGAGGATTTCCAGAATCAAAGAGAATGAAAAAATTTTTAAAAATATAACAAAATTGATATGTTTCTGCAGGTCACAGCTGAAAAATATTTAGAAGCAGCAGCAGAATGTCATGAAGCAAAAGATGGAACTGAAGAAGGAAAAACTGTATCAAGTTAAATTAACCTCTAAATGTACATAATAAAATGTGCTTTTTTACTTACTTGTGCTGCATATAAAAATGTCTTTGGTAATTAATTTGAATTCTGTGAACCTAAATCACAGATAGATATAAAGCCATTATCAGCCATTTCAGTTCACTTTAAAGATTTCACTTAAAAAAAAAAAAATGAGGAGGAGGGAAGGAAATGTTTTCTTTGAGATAACTCATCTTGCAAGTTACTCTTGTCCTTATCTTGACAGCAGTTGCATGTGTCCCTGTGTTGTTCTCTGTGATCAGTGCAGTGTGGTCTACAGACTCTAGTTGAAGTGGCAGCTGGAGAGGCCTTCTCCTTTATCTTGATATAATTTCAAGACCCTTTGTTTGGTCTTCCATGTAGAAAGTATTTATTTCTAATTTCTGACCTGATACGTTTGTTTCTTGCTGGAACTTCCTGATGAAATTCCACTGAGTTTTTTGCCTACTGCAATAGAAATTCGAAACAAATACTATCTTTTTTAAAAAAAAGGCAAAAAAGAAAGACAAAACACACCCTTTCAGAAGCCCTTAAAGTGTTACAAAATATTATTTTGATTTCCTGTCAGAATTGAAGTTAGATGCTCTATTGTGTTTCTGGTTCAAAATACTCCATTCAGTAGACAACTGTGTAATTGCCATTGCTTTACTAATACAAAAATAGCAGAACGTAAAAGCTGAGAAGTTCTTTGAGTTTAATATTTTCTGCTGTACAAGTGCAGTTAAAGATAATTTTCCAGAATAATACCAGGAATGTAGTCTATTACTTCCATCCCCAGTGTAGTCAGATTTATTGTGCATTTTCATTCTTTGATATTTAAATATGATGACTTCAATTAAATTTCACATGGGGTTTTTGTTAGATGATGTTTTCTGATGTTCTGTATTTTCATCCCTAGCTCATTAGAGCTGTTCTCATTATACCAGAAGAGATTTTTACTAGTATTTGAAGTGCAAATATTTTATCTGAAATTTTTCCCAATTACTGTTTTTACCATTAACTACATCACTTGCTTTCTAATCAATTGCTACTAAGAGCAGGGTAGCAGTTCAGTGAAATACATTTAGGTAAGGAAATCTTACCTAGCTTAATCAAATTAAACGATAAGTAAATGCTGAATGTGTCAGAGCACAGAAGAAATGCAAGCGGTAAAAGTAGCTATTGGAGCAATTGCAGAAATCTGCCTAAAGTATGTGTTAAATTGTTTGCTCCTATGTATTTCTGTGATCAGTGCAATCTTTCACTATTCAGATTTACTGGCACACAGTGAAGTTTGAAGTCTGTCAATGTACTAACAGCCTGCTGGCCTCTGGTTTAGTTTGCTGTTAAATCTGACACATCTTTAAAGTATAGCCTGTGCCTTCTCAGGGTACTTGAAAAACTAATTATTTTTCCTCTTGAATGATGTTGCAGAGGACTTTTTATCATGGTATCAGATGCTTACTGTTTTAAATAAGATTCTTAATTCAAGGTTTACATTAAGAGTACACACACACATTCTGTATGTTTTCTTAAGACTATCAGTGATCTTTGCATTGAACTTCAAATATTTGTGTTTCTTTTAAACCTAACCTTCCAGAGTATACTTTGTCTTTGAACCTGCAGCTCTGGTGCTACTGAAAAAGCAGGCATTGGTTCCTGTCTTGAGGAACATAAAATTTGCCGAGTTTTTTGTTTGTTTTATTTTTTTGGAGGTACCTGCCATCTCTGATTAACCCAAGACCATACTGAAATTATGCCAGTGGGGTCTGATCTAGGTGGTCTGTTTTGAATCTGAAGCCAGTCATATCACCAACCCACACATTCTCCTGATGTCTGCTTTGTATTTTGGGAATCCAGTTGAGAATTCCTCCTGGATTCCACCACCTGCAGAGGAAGGTGAGAATGCTGCTTCCCCTTAGGAATTTTTTTGGCTTAAGCTGGAATTTCATGTTTCAGAGCTTTTTTTTTTTTTTTTTTTTTGAGGGGAAGGGAACTTGGCTTTTGTAGTGTAAGGAACGGTTTGAGAGGCGTATAGCTGGGCTGAAAAGTCTGGAGAGGGAATTCCCCTTTCCTGACCTTCACTGGGACTGTGGCAGGCAGGTGTGGGACAAGCAAGGGGGGTGAGTTTGCTCCGGGGCCTGGGGAACCCCCAGAACTGCCACCAGTAGGTGGGAGCAGAGGCCGGGGGAGGAGAGGTGATGCCTTACCGGCGGGAGAGGAGCAAGAGAGATGCCCCACGGGGGCACGGGTGAATCCCCATGCAAGTGCAGAACTATGTTACCAGAAATGCTGTTGAGGGCTGCCAGCTGAAGTTTAGGTGAGATTAAAATTCCCCACTTCCCCGGAGGTCTTTGCATAAAAAGGTGGAAGCTGAAACTTCTGCAGAACTTGGTGCTAGCTCACATCACGGTTTACGTGGGCTCCAGGAGGCAGGTCTTCCTTTGGGAGAGATGGAGCTGGAGGATGTCTGTGAAAAGTGCCAGGATTCTTGCAGAGGACAGTAGCAGTTAAAGGAGAACTGGGTTATAGAAGGTAGTGTCCACTTCTTTCTTACCACCAATATGGTGGTGACAGCACTTTTCGAAGTAGGAAATGTGGATTTCATTCCCTGTTCTCCCAGGGAGGGATTCAGAGCCGCACTTGCCGGGGGGAAACATCTGTGGGGTTTTTGGCAGGGATGGATTATAAGGTACTTCAAGTATGTATGAAGTGATACCACTGCTAGAAAACAGTCCTGAACATTTCTTGGATGAACATGACAACAGATGGAAACAGTGCTCATGGCAGCCACAGAGCAACAAGGAGATCTGGTCCCTGAGCTCAGGGCCATTTCTGTATTTCACCGTTAATTGTTACTGTATGAAATGCTGATACTGTCTAGCAAGAGAAATGTTACAGCAGCTAGGCTGGGGTAATGCTTCCTTTCTCTTTTTGGCTTAAGGATTTCTGAAATTTAGCTGAACTGCAGGGTGATACCAGCCTGGCTGGCTATTTGGGGCTGTGCTCTGACATACACCTAGCACTATAGCTGTATACCAGACTTAAAGCTATGGGGTAATATAAAATATCAAAATGAGTTTGGGTAGGGCAAAGCTCTGGCTGGGTGTGGATTTTAGATTTGTGTGCACTGTCCTGCCTACCATGGGGCCTGGCCCAATGTTCTTTATTGGAAGTAGCCAAAAGAGACCACTGTAGGTCAGTTCAAAAAGAGACAAGAAAGCAGATAGCATTCAGTATAGAGAAATAACTACAGATCCCAGAAACTACAGGGAATAGGGGAGGGCAGATGGACAAAAGAGGCTGAAAAATAAACCAAGTCCCCTACTTCGCTATTTCTCCTCTTTATTAAATTTCTTTTCAGGTGTGAAGAGGCAGTATTTACTGTATCCATTCAGTAAAAGAAATGCAGAGTCAGCTAAAGGTAAGGAAGAATCTAGGAAGTCACCATACTGCAAAATAGAGATGATGGAGAAAGGGGAGGGACAGGGTGGTTTAGGTCAACATACATAATCAGAAAACAACACTGGTGAGATTCTGATAAGGAATAAATAAGGAAGAAATTTTTTTTTTATGATGAAGTTGGTAAGACACTGGAACAGGTTGTTCAGAGAAATTGAAAATACCCCAACCCTGGAAATGTTCAAGGCCATGTTGGACAGGGCATTGAGCAACCTGATTCAGTAGAAGGTGTCCCTGCCCATGGCAGGGGGGTTGGAACGAGATGATCTTTAAGGTCCCTTCCAACTCAAACCATTCTGTGATGATGGGGAAAAGGCAGGAACTGAAGCCTTCTTCCTTGTTGCACATCTCAGTAGTAGCTCCATGGCTTCTCACCTTCAAGTTCTTCCTTCTACCTCTTGTTTGAAAGACAGTTGGAACTTTTCCAAATTGCTGAATTTTTGCTCTGAGCTTAGGACCCTTGAGCCTTCCCTTTTATTTATTGGTTTTATCCAAAAAGGAAACTCTGTACTAAGGTTAAAGCTACATGGTGGCTGTAGGAAGGTTGAGCTGAGTCAGTTTCAGCTTTGTATACACACTATTTGACCAACTGAGATATTTTTTCCCAAAGTAATACTCTGTAATTCATGTTATGGATTTTGGAGATAGAAAGGCAATTATGATGTAGTCTGACTTCCTTCATAACAGAAGGAATTAAATGTCAAGAGAGAGTTATTTTTTCTCTTACCAAGGAAGTGAAACCCTTCCCTGGGAAACTGAACACATGCAAGTGATGAAAATGCTCAATCATCAGACATCAAGTCCTTTTATGACAGCAGCCAGAATAAGCTCTCCTTTATATTTTAACCTCTGTCAAGAAGAAATCTCTTACTGCTGTTTGGTAACTTATTTAATGCTATACCACTCAGCTTACCACAATACTTTGTTATATTTGAAGCCAGTAAACTTGCTAGTGCAGCTGCATTAATTTTAGTAGTTTTTCAAGGAATCCAGACACAGGAACTCAATATTGTAGAGGTGTTAGATGTGAAGAATTGGCAGTGGATATTTCTTGAAGAACACCAACCATCTGAAAATGGTAATGCTATCATGCTGTGGTCTTTCACAAGATTTAACCCCAGTCATGGACAGCATTAACATTTTTTCAGAGTAAAAATAAAACCTATTTTTAAATTATCTGCTAATATAATATCTGCAACCTAATACACCTGCTTTTCTGGAGAATCAGCTATGCAGAAAAAATACACACAAATGGTTTAATGGCTATAGATTTGCTATCTATTTCTTAAGTTTGCAGTTACTCAACTTACATTTTAAAGAGACAAACTGTAAAGGAACGTACATTTGATTTTTAAAGCATGACTGTGAATCAGAATGGTGGGTGGCAAGACCAATTTTCTTCCTTAGTATACCTTCTATTGGCATGTGTCTACACAGGATAGAAACAGGAAGTCCAGGTGGGGAGTGGAAAGGTGAGGTGATGTAAGGAAGTCACACCTGGTCACTGTTTCAGTACTGTGACATTCACAAGCGCTGAGGACGGTCTTGTACTCCAGGTACACTGCTCTGATGTTAACGAAAGCCTCTGAAGAGGAGAAAAAAATCTGTTACTGGTTGCAAGCTTGGGGTGCTGTGCAGTAAATGAGATTTCTTTGAACGCAACAAGGAACCAAGGGAAATATCATGTAACGTATTCCTGTTGTGATCATAATTGACATAATAAATGTAATTAATTAATGCTTCACTTTACATCCTACAGAGGAATTTAAGTTGTGGAGACAAGCTCAGCAGCATCTCCAGATTTCTGCGTTTCACAGAAATCTTAGCTTTAAAATCATCTTTCTGTGTTGGCCGTGCAGCTAGGGGCTCTGTGCGTACTGCAGCCATGTCCGCGTGGAGACGAGCAGCAGCGGCCTGTGAGCCTGGGGCTCCCCTGCTCCCGGGGGCTTGGGGACCACCTTGGCGTCAGTAAGAGAACTGATACTGCCAAATCTTGCCTCAAATGGAGAGGGAAATCAAAATGTGCTTTGTTTTTTCACCCTAGTTCCAAGAAATGAGAGTTTCTGTGAACTCTCCTCCTCTCTTTTGCCACAGTTTCCTCCCCACTTTCAAAACTATTTTGTCCTGCAGAATGAATAGCAATAAGCTTTTCTTCAACAAAATGTGCCTTCACCCCATTGAGATTCCCCTCTTAGAGCTCTAGCTCTGACTTTGGGAAGGGATGAAGCTGGCTTTTGCTTTTTGGTGGTTGTGGCCCCTGGCTGTACGCATCTCCAGAGGAGCCACTGAACTTACAGCCTGATTTGGAAAACATTTACACCCTGCAGCAGTTCCGTCTGAGTGGAAAAATCACTTTCAGTGAGACTGTTCAGATGTGAGACTGTTTTATATGTGAGACCATTGATACATAAGTGTCTGCGGTCTCGGTGTGCTCTGTAATCATACCTCATACTGGGGATTCACAGTCAAAACACTGTGAACAGAAAAGGATATACATACTGATAGAGCACAAATGTTAACCTTGTTTTTTAATTAATTGTGAGTACTTTGAGTGGTTTTGTTCCCCCTTCTGCTCCCCCATCAAATTAATATTTCATAATTAAACTATTCATTAAGCATATTTAATTAAATCATAAGATAGAGAGTTTTAAAGTCTGGCTTTGTCACTCAGTTTTTGTGACTGAGTATTCAGTATCTATTTTGACCTTCCATAAAATAAATATTACAATACATTCCTATTTCTCTGGAACTTTCTGAGACTTATTCTAAAAGTTTGGAATGCAGTGGTAATCCTAAAGTAAAATAAATATATTTAAATTTTCTCCTAATGACCCATTGACCTATTTCTCTTAATGAACTGACAATAAAATCTCAGAGAAACATTTTCTGTCGGTTTTTCTCTTGCATATAATAAAATTCTATAGAAATGAATAGAATGCACAGTTATACATGCCAAAAGTTTAATTTATATTTTTTCTTTCCTAAATAAAATGAATAAATTAAATACTTGCATAGGAAGTAAAGCCAGAAGAGCTGAAAAGCAATAAACCAAAATAAAAAACAGGTTGTTGCACTCAAAATGTTACATGTTCTACATCCTAGTAAGGACATAACTGATACACAAAGCTGCTTTTTTCCCTGCTTTTTCCAGTGACTCGAAACATAGCAAGCATTCTAGGAAGTGTGCCTGTATGCAGAATAACTAGTCTTTTTACATGTAGAATGGAGGTTTTTCCAGCATAGCACTGACTGAGTCAAGACTTCTGTTCTCCTCCCACAGCAGCAGTTTGTTCCATGTGAATTCTGGTAAGAGGCATGATACAGTGTTAATGCTAATATGTAGGAGTCAGCCAGAGGTAAAAACCCCTATCACGATTAGCATTAACAACATACAGCCTACAGAAGAACTCCAGAGACTGGAGTATGAGACATAAAGAACTGAAACCACTGGGTTTTCCCCTCGATTTACCTAAAAAAAAAAAAAAAAAAAGAAAAGAAAGAAAAAAAAAAGACAGAAATGCATATAAAAAAATTATGTTAGAGAAAGGACAGACACCAGAGGAAAAACAACTGTAGTTAGTTAAATACACAAGAACCATATGCCATACATTTAAAACCAGTCAAACCTACAGTTGCTTTAGTTGCTTTTGTAAGAGAAATAGAGTACATTCACTATTCTTGATCTCTGAAGAACTTCCATCATTCTGCTTATTGCATTTTTTTTGTGCTGCTTTACTTGGGTTGAGCAGAAGGAATACATATTGTAGCATGATGTTGCCTAATTTTGTATCCCTTTAGGTATCTGTTAATGAAGACTTGCAATATCAGTCAAGTTCCTCAAAATGTTAAGAACCCAAGATAAACAAAATAAAAAATGGCTTGGGTTTGTTTTCATTTAAATAAGACAAAATGCCTATCAGGAGAGCTGACTGCTTAACAGGATGTAAGAAACAGAGTTAAGAAATAATTGTAGTTTCATCAGTATGCGATGTTTGTGATTAAGCAACAAGTATTCCTTTGCATTCCGAAATAAATGAGCTCTGACCAGAGAGAAAACCTGTTGGACAGATTTAGTTGCTGGTCTAGGATCCATATACTGGACTCCTACACTGTCATTCCAGTAGGCTAGAATGAGATTTATGATTATAACTGTCTGTGTTGAACAGTACATTGTTTGTTAATCTCTTAATATTAACCAGTCACTGATTCTTTCACCATAAAATTAGTAAGTGCTGAATTTTTTTGACCAGTCAAACATATTTTTTTTTTTTTACTTCTTTCAGCCTGTTATGAGCTCTCTCCTGAAAACTAACAAGGAAAACATAGTTTTAGAAATCAGTAATTCTATAAAATATTTCAAAAATCTGCAAAGAAATTGCATAATGAAGTAGAAATGCAGTCAGTAGAAGAAAGGTTAGAGAATCCTCATTATATATCCAATTATCTGAAATTTTTTTACAATATTCAGTTACTTACATCAGCAATAAGGATGGAATAGTTGAGACAGTCATTCCAAGGAGGTGTAAAAAGGCCTAAGTAATGCCCTGTTAGTTCTCTGTTAAGTATGTCTTGATTTAAATACGTTTTCCTTTCTCCATCCTTCTAAAATAGAATATTGGCTCCTGGGCAGAGTTCTGAAATGGTTGAATCTTGTTTGTTTTCTGTTTGGTCTCCCAGTAACCACTTTCAAAAAAACATACTGTTGTTTAAGAAAAAAGTAACAAGAAAAACAATATGGGAAAGGAGACATTATATATAAGACATGATTTTGGAGATCTTTTTTGTATGTAAATTTAAAGAAACTTATGTACTTTTATAGCTTCCTTACTCTTACTAACATATGTTTTAAGAGGAAGTTAAAATGTCATAGTAAGACTGTGATCTAATTTAGAGATTTTAGGGAAATTACCTTTCACTTTGTGCCACTCTAAATGAAACCAGCCAAGTACACGGTTGTGATATGTAAGTGGCAAACAAAAATTCCAAGATGAATATAAGGTTTTGGTAGGCAGAAAAAACTGGTTTAGAAATTTCCAAACCTCAAATTTAAAATGATGATTCAGAGCTCTGTTGAGTGTTCAGGCTAAACTCCTACTGAAGCCAGACACTGAGACCTCTGGTGTAACATTTGCATTTGTGGGCAATGAAGTGAACAGTTTCTAAACTTATACATCAATACTCCTAAATGTTGTCTGTGCATATGTGGTATGTATGTGGAGGGTGAGGGGTGCAGGCTAGGGGAGGGGGACGAGAGATGCAAGTTAAGGTATTAATTTTCTTTTTTTTAGGAAGAAAGCAAACAATTATGTCAATAAAAAGCTAGTGTCTTATCTGAATTTATTGTGGATTGAGCCTGCTTTGAGCAAGGATTTGGATTTGATGCCCTTCAGAGATCCTTTCCAACCTAAATTGTTCTTCAATTCAATTACTGTGTTTTTAATGTTTCTAAGTCCCTAGCTCCTTATTCACTTGCTGTCATCCAGTGGGCACACATCTTTATGAACGACTTGGTGCAAAACGTCTGTTCCTCTTGTGGGAACACTAAATTTTACTTCATTAAGCTTTGGATAAAGATCACACTAGGCTGTAGGACAAGAGCTTTGCTATAAGAGGCTTCTGTCATCTCTGAATCTGTTGACCCAAAAGTATTTGTAGAATGTGTTTGTAAATTTTCACTCTCTTAAATGTGTTCTAGGTTGCTATTCTTTATGCTATGCTTCCCAAACCCTATTTCTTTCATATCTTTTTAGAGTTTGTCAGAGACTCCTATAGGTTTTGCTAAAAGAGAATTTTTTTATCTGTGGTTTGCAGCAGCCATTTGTGGTTGATGACACTTTCCTCTCCAGTCTGCCTTCTCCTGTGTTCAGGCTTGGAGAAGGGATGTTTTTGAAATTGATCACTTCAATACATCTAATAATTGTTTCTCTGCAGAAGCTGAATGAGCGCTCTACTTGCACATGCCTAATTCCAACATTACTGTTGATAAGTGAGGGAAGCAAAAGACTTCAGGAAGCATTTGCTCTCTGCAGTTTCACTCCAGAGCCAGCCCTTCTAGGCAAAAGTGGGTAAGCGGGTAGCCGTAACCACAGACAAGCCTTTGTCTTTGGTGCCTTTCTACTCCCATGGTCTTGGATTTAAGTAATGGAATAGTTTTGCCTAGGCTGCCACCTTAGCATTTTAATTTTGGGTTTAAAAGCTGCATAGCATCTCCAATGCTGCAAACTGGTTTGCTTCTGTGTACTGAAGGCAAAAAACAGAAGAATCATGCTTTATCAGGAAGTGGTGAGAAATGACATGTGTTTCCTCTTGCTGAACCTTTGTAACAGCCTTTTGTACAGCTGTCAGATTTCCATTACATGAACAAATACGTATATTGCTGCCTATCTTCTCACACAGTTCTAAAAATGTGGCCTTGCCATCAATGGAAACGATGACCATCTACTAATGCTTAAATGTGCTAAAATAAAATCCCCTATTATTTCCCTTGCAATGTTAAAAAAGTAAAAGCTCATAAGATCAGGTGTGATTTCCCTCTTCCTTTTTCCAGCACTCTCTTCCTTCAGTCAATAACATCAGAATTCTTCCTGTCTTATCTACTGACCTCTGGACATCAGGTCCCATCCACTCATCTGCTTTTCTGTTCCTTCATAGGGTGGAGTGACCTCAGATAGGTGTGTGTTTTAATTTAATTTTAAAACGTCATACCTGCTTTCATTGTTATTTCCTCCACAGAAACTGTCCAAATCAGCATTGATCACTTAGGCTAGATGTTCTACCCTTTGATTATTTTATCCCTGTTTGACAGTCAGACATACTTGAAAATTTTGTCCCACCTTGCCTTTTTGTGACCGTTCTTTCTTGGTTCTCCCACCTCTGTGGCCACAGACCTGTCTCTGTATTTTTAGCATTTGTTTAATCATATAGACTGCCTATTCCTCTGAGATGTCCTTCTGGACTTCCTAGTAGCAACTGCAACACATAATTTTTCCTCCAGTGCTATTTCTGCTTCAGTTATTCTCTGTTCACATTCAATTCTTACCAGCACCTTTTCTGTCACTGCTATACAGAAGTGGTCTAGTCCACTAACCATGTTCCTTATTGTTCTTCATCCACTTGGAACAGGCTTCCTGAAGAGGTGCTCGGTGCCCCAAGCCTGTCAGTGTTTAAGGGGCCGTTGGACAATTCCCTTAATAACATGCCTTAACTTTTGTTCAGCCCTGAAGTGGTCAGGCAGTTGGACTAGATGATAGTTTTTGGTTCCTTCTAACTGAAATATTCTATTCTATTCTATTCTATTCTATTCTATTCTATTCTATTCTATTCTATTCTATTCTATTCTATTCTATTCTATTCTATTCTATTCTATTCTATTCTATTCTATTCTATTCTATTCTATTCTATCCTATCCTATCCTATCCTATCCTATCCTATCCTATCCTATCCTATCCTATCCTATCCTATCCTATCCTATCCTACTTCTCATACTGTTTTACAGACCATCCTCCTTCAGACAAATATTTTTTCTCCATAGTTCCTTTCTCCTATTTCAAATACCTTGTAAAGGTCAACTTCTGCTGTGACAGCTTCAAGAAATCTACTAGTGCTTTCTGAAGAGCCTGTGAGGCAGTTGGGATAAAGTGAGAGTCTGGATGACTTAATTTGAACTATAAACAGTAAAAATAAAAGTAAAATTAGTAAACACTGACAAGATTTTTTCTGCTCTTGTATACCCACATGCACATATATATTTAACTTCTCTTTGTAACTGCCTTAGTATGTGACAATGTTTATCTTCATTTCTGCTGCAGTATTAATGCAACTGAGACCTTACTGAGACCTATGGCATTTCTGAAAAATAAATGTTGACTAATAATTTTACAGACAACAGTAATTTTACTTTGCAATCTGCCTTCCAAAATGTGTGAGAATGGACATCATACTTATAGCTATTTTTGTATTTCAGAGATTTAAAAAAAATAATCTATGAGTGATTGAGGCACTTAAAAAGTCTGCTCAAGTATAGGTAGCTTGTTGTTCCCTAACCTAGGATTTTATCTGGTCAGTGGAATATCAATGGTTAATCAGTTCATCCATATCATAGTCTATATTCAGATTCCCTTCAGGAGGAATACCACAAGTACAGTTAAAACTATTTAGTTTAAATATGACAAGTGCTCATTTCCCCCCACCTGTACATTTGTACATCATTGTATGATACCTCAGGGGTCTGAGTGGACTTATGCTGGTCCATTGATGGACTAGAGGCATCCAGCTTGTTAGTCTAGTTATGTGGTTACTACCCAGTTTTGCCTCTTCAGTCCAAATGACCAAATTCTTATTTACCTTTTGATCAACTAGAGGAGAACCTTTGCCATGAATCTGGAGTAAAAATCAACCCTTTTGACTTTGGATTAATAGCAAGATGACATGCCAGCTTTGATATACTTCCCAGTATAATTTTTTTATGAAAACCACATGCAGGTTAGGAAAGTAATTCCAACTGTGAAAAATTTGGTAACCAATTTAGAAAAGATAAAAAGTGTTCTCCAAACAGCAAAAAATTTTACAACTTTGCCTTTTGGGGAGCCTCATCTGAAGGTGCTTAAAGTTGTGCAAAGCCCCTTTTCAGTGGGAGGGTGTAAGGGAGAAAAGGCAGTTAACCAAGACCAGAAATCTGCAGTGCTTATGCACATGAGCATGTACAATCACAATCATGCTGGAGGAATCAGACTGCGATGAACCCCAAGCCTGATTCTTCGAAGTTAAAGAATAGAGACCCACACTGACCATAGTAGGCTTTGAAACAGAACCAGTGAACCCAGGCTTTTATTTCCATTTGCTTGCATATAAATGAGACGTAGCTCAGAAGAACAATATCAGTTTGATATATCAGGTTTATCAGATTGATTATCAGATTTATCAGATTATCAGATTGTTGAAAATAAATGAAACGCCTGATTCTGGGGGAAAAAAATTCAAGGAGCTATGGGGTCTCAAAAGCGATGTGCCAGCAAGCTGATTATGTGGATAGCTTTGTAGGGCACATGAGGTAGGACTCACATCACCCAACGGCAGTTACAGAAAAATTAGGTCTTCTCTCTACGCTAGCTATCTGCATATTCTCCCTTAACATTCACCAGAGAGAGAGAGAGCAGTGGGCACTGGCTAAAGGGTAACGTGCTTCACCCTTTTTATATCTTTCTTAGAAAGCTGCAAATTGCCCTCTGGAGATGCCTATTTCCTTTTATTTGTCAAAACTAAAATTTGGTTTAATATACAAGAATGGCTTTTGAATCTGTCTTCTTCTGCAGTCATGAAAAAATCCTTTTTGTAAAAAATAAGACCAAAATGAAATGTATCAATTTCTGAGAGGTTTTTACCCTTGAATAGCAGAAACCTAGTTTTGACTCCAAAAGAACTAGAGTTAATATAGTTAGCCTATTCTATAATTCTTTTAATCACTTACAAAAGGTCATTATACATAAACAGTATACCAGGCATCCATTTTCAGGTACCCTGTTTACATTTTCAGGAGGATTTTAAGTCCTCCATTGTCCTCTAATTTCTCAGAAAGTAAAATTATTCTTTTAAAAACACTTACTTAGGAAAATATTGGATTCACATCTCTTACTTAAGATACTGGAAGAGCTCCAAAGATGTGTATGTGTGTGTGGATAGAAGTGGCTTTTCTTGGCTGAAAACTTTCCTCTAAAATAAAATGTACTTATATTTCACTCTGTGGATCAAGTAGCTGAATTTTTTTAATACTGTATTTCAGCTATTTTGCTTGTTCCTTTTTAAATTAAAAATCACAATATTAAAAAGCTAATAAAAGAAATTGTTCATCTTAGATAGTGGCTGCTAAATTTGAGTTCAGAGCAAATTTTTATGATCAAATTAAAACTTAGATTTTTCACCAGACAGGTATTAATGCTGAGCATGGAGCTCCTATGTTGTCAGTATGGATATACATTACAAGAAAGTTATATAAAGTTCTTATTATGGGCATTTTAAACATCTTTATTTTAAAAAGAATTAAGAAACCATAACTAAATGATGCAAGTCCAATGGGTATACTTTAAAGAAGGCATTTCTCTGTTGCTTATTTATGAAATGAGGACCAGAACTTGTCCTGTGTCCAAAACTACTTGTATGGCCAAAATTAAGTCAAACTAGTCTGTAGTTA